CAGCAACTGCCCAATAGGGTTTCTGTTGAGAAAGCTGATTTCATCTCTGGCCTGGCGGTAGGGGGAGCCTTTGGCTCATGTCTAATTCAATCAGCAGCATCTCAACCCCCTGGCCATTGATATTGGTTCAGTGATAGGCAGGTGGCATCATCTGGACCAATGAGACACAATGAAAGGTTTTTCTAGAGGCCTCTGGGGGGAAATATTTGCCCTCTCTCCTGAGGGAGCTCTTCTCTCCCTTCCTCTCTTCCCACCTCAGGCTCTTTCCGTCTATTTGTCCGTCTTTTCCTCTCTCTGCCCCTCCCAAAGGTGAAGGAAAAGTGTGGCCCCAGGGGTATTTGCCAGCCATCATGCAACCTGAGGGAAGATGTTTATACTTAGGACAGAGATAGACAGACCACGCTGCAGCCAGCCACACCCGAGGCTGTTTTTATATGTGAAACGATTCTCTTTCCCATAAGCCAGTTGGTTGGATTTACTGTCACCTGCATGAAAGCCCTACTAGATAAAGCACCCTGGAGTGGGATGGGGACAGGAACACCAGCTCATGGTGTGGGATCCAAAGAAGAGAGACGAGAACCAAAACACCCCAGAATGCCCTGCAGCTGGAGTAAGAGACGTTGGTTAGAGCCATGGACAAGGAGACCTATAGATTCTTGGGGGCAAAGACAACTCGTAGCTTCCCTCTACCCAAATCCGGGTTAGACGCCTCTCCCCACCTATCCTAACACACAGCCCTGGGAGGATTAGAGGAGACCCAGCCTGGCCACCTCTTTCCCCAGCTAACAGAAGGATAAACTGAGGGTGGGAAAGGAAGGGAGTCCCTCCGAGCTGTGGTCCTGGGGACACAGAGGTTGGTGGGAGATCTGGTCCAGAGGACAGAGAGGATGCCGGGAGCCGGGCCCTGAGGACAGAAAGGATGTCTGGAGTTGAAGCCCGTGGTGCGCCCGGATATAGAATATCTTGGTAGTGGTGGGGATAACAAGCAAGGATTTTCGCAGTTGGCATATCTCAATGACCTCATTGTCCAAGGGCCTGGGAGAGGCTGCGGTCTCCTGCCTCCCCTGGTTTCTCGCTCTCCTTGGGTCCTAAGGGAGATCGTCCTGCACCGGGTGTACAAGGCCCAACAGAAGTGGGGCTCAGGGAGACCTGCTCCCCGGGAGGGAGAAGGGACCCGAGTCTGCAGGGCTGAGTCAGCATCAAAGGTGGAAGAGAAGAGGGCAGGGCATAGGCAGGGACACAGAGAGACGGGCAGGAGGAGCAGGGACATGGGGCGGGGCAGCTGCACGCGCTGCCTGCGAGGCATCCACAGGAGCCTCTCCCTGGGAGACTCAGCACTCGGGCTCCCTTCCAGCTGGTTCACTCTCAGGGGGCCCTGCGGGCAGGGAATGATGTGGAAACACGGGGTTTCCGGGTCAGGACAGGAGGGAACGTGGGGTTTGACTCCAGCCCAGCCCAGCGCTGGGGGGTCGTGGACCTGCCCAAACAGGAGGCTGCAGCCGTCCCTCTCCAGGCGGCTCGGCTCACGGCTGTCACGTGACACCGTCCTTCACTCACCTGTGCACAGGTCACTTCCCACTCTCACTTTCCCACGACACACGCCCCCTCCCTCGGCCTCACACTCTCTCCCCTTTGCACACCCGCGCGCACACCCGAACCTTCACGCGCAGG